ACTGGTCTGGCCAATTCCACTTAGTTTGTAAAAATTAGTGAAACAATGGTAAGCCTCTCCCTCCCTGCATCCCTCCCTCCATCCCCCACTCTTTCATAAGAGTCTCACAGACTTTCCTGCTCAGGCTGGCCTTGGACCGCGATCCTCAGATCTCAGCCTCCTGAGTAGCTAGGATTACAGGCATGAGCCACAGGGTGCCTGGCTTTATTATTTATTTAGAATCAGATCTGATCATTATTCCTGGACAGGTTCGTTTTGTAAATTTCTTCTTCATCTTTTTTATTTTTAAAATTATTATTATAAAGGTGATATAGACAGGGGTTACAGTTTTGTAGTTCAAGTAAAGAGAACATTTCTTTGTGGACAATGTTACTCCTTCCCTTGCTCTTCCTCCTGTCCCCACCTACAAGTTGTATAATTCACTTTCAACATAGTGTCTAGTGAGTACCACTGCTGTATTTGTCTACCCTTTGTCCCTCTATTTCTGTGCTCCTTTTACTCTACCCAAGACAGATAAAAAAACACAACAAAAAGAACGAAAACACAAACAACAAAGAAAAAAACCCTCTTATTTCCATTTCTTGGTGTTCTATTACATTTCATGCTGAGACCTAGACCTGACAATTACTACTACTACTACTTGGGACTTGAACTTGGGGCCTGAGCACTGTCCCTGAGTACTTTTTGCTCAAGGCTAGCACCCTACCCCTTTGAGCCATAGAGACACTTCAGTTTTCTGGTAATTACTTGGAGATAAGAGTCTCACAGGCTTTCCTGCTCAGGCTGGCTTTGAACTATGATCCTCAGATCTCAGTCTCCTCAGTAGCTAAGATTACTGCCATAAGCCACCAGCACTCAGCTATATTTTTGGTTTTTAAAACAGGGTTTTATGTGGCAGCCCAGGGTACTGTCACGCTTCCCGTACTCCCGTCTTGGTTTTCCAAGTATTGGGATTACAGGCATGCAATGCTATTTGTTTGAGACAAGGTCTTGCTATATAGCTCAAGCTGACCTCGAACTCACTATGTTTCCCAGGCTGACCCCCAAGTAGAGTGTCTTGATTCCAATTATTCCCAAGGCTGAGATCCTAGTGTGTACCAACAGATCTGGCACATTCAAGAGACATATCTTCAAGTAACCAGCCCCCAAACAGCTTGAACTGGAGGTGTGGGTCAAGTGGTACATTGCCAGCTGTGAGCAAAAAAGCTAAGAGTGTGAGGCCCTGAGTTAAAGCCCCTGTAACTGTGCACACAGATACACCGGACAACCAAGACACAAAGTCTCATGGACTTTTCTGCTTAGACTGGCTTTGAACTGTAATTCTCAGCTCTCATCCTCCTGAGCTGATAGCATGTGGCCCTATTTACACATTCTGACGTAAGAGCGATAAGAGTAGGCTATTGGTTGAGATGGGGGCCGCATGCATGTTTTTTGCCCCAGCTGGCCTCAAATCTTTATCCTTCCTATCTCTGCCTCCTGAGTCGCTGGGATTACAGGCACCAGCTACTGAAGCTTTGTGAATCTCCATTTTGGCTTTTTTCCTGCTGGATCTTGCTATAGCATTGGATACTCTATTTTTATTTTTATTTTTAATTTTATTCTTTTTTGCCGGTCGGGGGGCCTGAACTCTGGACCAGGGTGCTGTCCCTCAGTTCTTCAGCTCAAGGCTAGTGCTCTACCACTTGAGCCACAGCACCACTTCTGGCTTTTTCTGAGGGCTTCATGCATGCAAGGCAAGCACTGTACCACTGAGTCACCTTCCCAGCCCTCTCCTTCATTTTGTACCCTTCCAGTACACATGGGCTCTCTCCCAAAATGATGACTAATAGACATTTTTTTTTTTGAAATATATGGATATGGATGAGTATAAGACAGGCCCATCCTGATATTTGCTTTGTGAATGTAAATAGCTATGTCAAAATTAATAGAAGGACCAAGCATGGAGGTGCACACCTGTCATCCCAGCAATCGGGTAGCAGAAGCAGGAGGATCCTGGATTTGGGGCCATTATGGGCAACATAGATTTCATGCTAGCCTGGGCTACATATGAGATTCTATCAAAACAAACAAACCAGGAAAGATGAAAAATTAGGTGCTCTACTTCCTAAAAGATAGCCCCAAATTTTTAATCACCATCCCCAATAGTGTAAGGAATGATCAGACAATAACTAGATACTATTGATGGATACTTTGAATTTTAAATACATCTATACCTTTACACGAGCCCACTAGAACTAACAAACATTTCCTTAAAATCATTTAAGTCATCAGTAGTGAACTCATTAATGGCAATCAGACACCTCCATCAGGTACGTGTTGTGCTTAAAATAATCCTACTTGCACATGCCTATGATTCCAGTTACAAAGGAAGTGTATGTAAGAGGATTGAATTCTTGGCAGGCACGGGTATATATTTCATACGTATTTCAAAAATAACAGAAAGCAAAATGATGATGTGGCTCAAGTGGTAAACTCAGGATGCCTTGGGTTCAAACCTCAGCAAAAACACTGCCTCCCCACTTAACACAAGGGGAAAAAAATGGGATAAGAACAAGTATGCAATATGCTTCGAGTCCGGTGCAACTTTGATTTTCATACTTGGGGCCTTGTGCTTGCTAGGCAGGTGCTTTACCACTTCAACTATGCCCCAGCTCTTTTCTTTTCTTTCTTTTTTAATATGCTCTCCCATTTATACTTGGAATATGCTGGGACCACAGACACATACCACCACGCCCAACTTTATTGGTTTAGTGTTTTTGTTCGGGATAGCCTTGAACTGTAATCTTCCAGATGTCCACCTCCTGGCTAGTTGGAATGCAATGTGTTTTAGTTCACAGAATCTGGAAAGAATGGACTGGAGACATGGCTCAGTGCTAGAGTGCTTGCTAGTGTGCATGAGGTCCTGGGTTGGTCCCTACTACCAGTTTTTTGTTTTCTAAATACTGCATGAACAAGTGTAAAACCATGGGTAAATTAAGTCTTGAGCCCAAAAACTGCACCTCTGGGAATAAACTTGGGTTTAACACATCTTTGCCATTCTCAGGTATGTGCCTAGCAAATGTGGAATAAAAAAAATGATAAGGTTCTACAAACTCAATGAAAAACTGAAGTTATTTTAGCGTCTCAGGATGACAAAAGTAATAAGTAGTTATTCTACCAACTCACATATATGCTGTTTTTTTTTTTTTTTTTTTTTTCCGGTCCTGGTGTTTTAATGAGTCCAGGGCTTCATGTGTGCTAAGCATACAAGCTAAGCACGCACTGAACCACTGGAACCATATTTCCAGCCAAAATATTAATTTGAGTGGAACGAACAATCAATTGTCCAGTTCCTCTTATCTAATTTTGATGTCCTCCTCTGGCCTGAACACCTAGATTAATAGTTACCTTATACTTTTCAGGCTACAACGAATGCAAGATTCTCAAAGAAATAGTGTCTTAACAGAAATGACTGATAGCATTGTAGAAAGAGATTTATTCAGGGCATTATCTATTCCATTCTTCAGTCAAGGTAACTCATCTACTTTTAGACTTAAAACTTCTAAAGAAAGCTGCTATGATCTAAAGAGATTGGCCATAAAACTATTTGTATTGAAAACTTAGCCCACATGGTGTTAGCGAACTCACTCATTAGCATTCTCAGTGGGAAGGTTCCCATATCTCCGGGTTCATTTTATACTTTAATTTGGTTAGTGGGTCTTTTGTTTAATCGTCCTATTGAAAGGAGAACAAAGGTGGTTTAGGTGACACTGTAGAGTAATGCACTATATTTTATCTCTGGGAAAAAAAAAAAAAAAGCTTGACAAAGTCAGAATTCTCTGATAGTCTCTGCTTTTCTTCAGGATGCTTGTAACCACAAATCAGCCAGAGGATAAAGATCCTCAGTGCATGCAGTACTTAATGGCAGACACCTTCTGAAGAGAAACACCTTGTCAGCCACCGAGCTGATGCTTTGCCAGCTAGTCCTGGCCCCAAAGGCGGATTATCACACTAGAAGAGTGGCTCAGTTTTCTGTTTCTTAAATACCATCTTCTCCAATCAAGTCACCAGCCAGGCCAAGCTCTTTCCTACTTCGGTCTAGGATTGCTATTCAAATCATGCAGCAGGGTTAAAAATGAAAACAGGTCATGATTTTACTTACACCTAACCTTCCAGAGGAAAGGAATACCTTGAAGTCCTTTGTACCCAATTCTCAGATCCTTGCATTGCTGCTATGGAGGTTTTCTTCTCCTTCCAGTCACCTCATTTAAGTTTTTAGGCTCCCTATAGTTTAAATCCGGACGGTCATCCTCGTCTATTCCTATTATTGTCTCTCAATCGATGCTGCCTTTTTCCTTTTCCCATTTTGTTTTGCCATCATTTGTAGAAGTCAATTAAGCTCCATTCTCTTCGTGATGATTGTGATGTTTTTATGCTGTTCTCATTTTCTCTAGTTATTACTTTCTGGAGAATGGCTCCGACCAATTTTCTAACTTTTCTTTGTATCACTGATATTTTCTTTTTTTCTAATCTACCTTCTTTTTTTCTTTCAGTTTCTTGAACTTTCTTTGACTGGTACCACCGAGACCACCAGTTCATTTCACACAGGCCACTGAACAGTCCATAAGATGGTGACAACTTTTGGTCTCTAGTGACCTGGACTGGATTCAACTCACTGACCAAGAGGTGAAAGGCTCTGTATTCCATTACTAATCCCTTGAGCCATCCAGCCCCCTGAAAATGATTCTTTGGTTTTTATTATTGCAAAGACCATTTATAAAATCATGAACTGGATTTAGGAAAGCAACCATGAAATAGCAAGGGACAACAAACTGATTGAAATTCCTTGAATGTAGTCCGGGCTGAAGTCTCTCAGACAGGAGGAGTGGGTGAAAAGTTATATATACGCACATTCGTTCTTATGGCAGTGCATGACCTGCTCACTTAAACGTGGCAACTTTAGATCCACTGACCATGCCTCAAGGAACTAAATCCTAAATAAAGAAAATGGAAAAGCAAACTATGAAACAGCCAATAATCTTTATTTTGCAGTTTCCCTATCCCTCATCTCCCTCTGAAAAGCACTAATGGGTAGGTTTGTGCATGTGAAAATATTGTATTTAGTATGATCTCAAATGAATAAAACCAAAACCACATATCTCAACATGAATTTTTTTTTTTTTTGGCAGGGATAGAAAAATTCTGGTTTCTAGAACAAGGAGGGCAATTATGTCATGTACTTTTGAAAGGTCTACTCCATTTCCACTGATTTGCAATTTAACATCACGGCTGAAAACCACATTTCTGTAACCACATAATATTTTAGAATAAGATGAATGCAAACACTAATATCAATTGACTTTGCAGTAAAACAATTCACATTTTCTATTAATATATTTGTATTATATTCAAAGCCCATATTCTAGCATTCAAGATATCTACCACATGGGTCCAAATTAAGGTCATTTCAAAATCAAGTAAAAGTTCAAAATTATTGGTTATTCCAAAGTCACTAAAATATGCTAATAAAGTTAAATTTGATGTCTTTTTTTTACATTAAAAATAAAATATTTGGTTTACCTTTCAGATATCTATAACATATAATAAATAGTGGGCAGTATAGTAATATAATAAGGTTTTGAGATACCCTGAAATTTGATGCATTTTCTTAAAAAAATTCATAATATACTTCATTTCAGCCTTAAAGCACAATATCAATGAACAAATTTGTAGAAATAAAACAATATAAACACAGAATGCTACAGTATGTTTTTTTCTTGTTTGATGGTTTTTTTTTTGTTTTTAACTTTTGTGGAGCCTACATGTCCTTTTAGTAAAAGGCAGAAAAATTTACAGAAACAAGATAGATGACAAACAAAACGATTTCAAAACATAAACTCCAGATTCAAATCGCCCTGTTCTCCTTCCAACTGCTAGGGTCTTCTTACCCACAAGTTTTGGGCACTGCACAGTTTCATTCAGCTCAAGGTAAATTATTCTGCTCTATGGCTCTTTTTCTCGTCCTTTGCCTATGTACAGCAGTAATTACAGACATGGCTGAAATCACAGTGGATTTCAGAGAAAGCCAGAATTAAAGACGATAAAAATTTAAAAAATAACTACTTCATAAATATTTATTATTTACATTAGGAGAATTTTTTTTAGTATGAAGTTTTTCTCTATACAAGTTGATGAAATGTACAAGCAGTGAGAAGAGACTCCAGCAGTTTAAAGAAGGGCGAAATTAGAATGCAACAAAGATATCAAATAGGTTAAACAAAACTAATTTGCACAGAAGCAAAGAGGACATGATAGAAACCTTTTTCTTAAAAAATATAAGGTATTTCACAAAAGCCCAAACATTTTACATGTTAGTACTAAAAACAGGGTTGGAGGGAAGCTTCATATATTCTCATCACAAAAATATTTACCAATATCCCAAGTGGAGTTTTCTTTTATGTTATTACGATTATTTTACTCTAGAGGGAAAGGGGTTGAAAGCTGTATACAGACTAATGATATCATCCTTAAATTAGAGTCAAGGCAGTTTATACATTATCTTCTCATCTTACACCTTAAGAAAAGGCCCTGGAGAGAATAAAGAAAAGCAAAAGGGAAGATGTATGGTCTCTTTTATTAATAATACTTGTCACTGGTAATAGAAAAATGGAGGTGGGCAGCCCTCAGGCCACGCCCCTTCTGGAGTTTTCTTCAGTCACGCCACTGTGGAACTTCCCAGTGTTTCAGAAGGGAAGGCAGAGTGGATGGCATGTTCTTGTCCTCTATCTTCACTGATTCCTTATCCAAGGCCTGGGGGCAATGGGATGGCAGAACCACACTAGCTCTGTCCAGAGGCACCAGGGAGGCAGCAGGCAGCCTTTGCTGACCCTGCGGGGTCCAGCCTCCAGGCGCTGTCAGTGAGCTCGGTGCTTCCTCTTCTTGTGCTTCTTATCTTTCTTCTTGTTGGCAGAACACTTGGCACAGAACCACTGCATCTCTTCTGGTGGGGCAGCCATTAGTCCAACACAGGGCCTACACACAAAAATAAATTCCATGAACAAGTTTCCTACAAATTTATTCTTTTCCTGCAGAAATCAAATATGCAGCACTACTGTTAGACATCTGAATTATTATTATTATTATTATTTTGTGCTGGGCCTGAGGATTGAACTCTTGGGGCCTGTGCTGTCCTTAAGCTTTTATGCTCAAGGTTAGCATTCTACCACTTGAGTCACAGATCCACTTCCAGTTTTTTTCTGGTAGTTAACTGGAGAGAAGAGTCTCATGAACTTTCCTGGGTGGGCTGGCTTTGAACTTTGATCCTCAGATCTCAGCTGCCTGAGTAGCTAAGATTACAGGCATGAGTCACGAGCACCTGGCTAGCACCTGGATAACTTTATTATATAATGTTTCTTTTTATAGGCCCTCTCAGAAGATTAATTAGTTCAATCAGCCTCCCAACCAGGAATAATGTAAGTCTTTTTAGTAATATTTCACTTTTTTTTTTTTGTCAGTCGTGGGCCTTGAACTCTGGGCCTGAGTGCTGTCCCTCAGCTCTTCAGCTCAAGGCTAGTGCTCTATCCCTTGAGCTACAGCGCCATTTCCGGTTTTCTGGTGGTTTATTGGAGATAAGAGTTTCACAGACTTTCCTGCCCGGGCTGGCTTTGAACAGTGATCCTCAGATCTCAGCCTCCTGAGTAGCTAGGATTACAGGCGTGACCCACTGGCACCCGGCTTAATACTCCACTTTCATCTTACAGACATCATATGTTATAACTGACCAGGTATCCTTTTACATTTTATATTTTAAAGATAAATAAAAGAAAGATTGCTTATGTTTTGACTGAGCTGCTGAAGGGGTATAAACACAGACTAGCTGTCTTTATCTCTGCAGTCTGTATCAAGTTTATTGTTTTCAAGGAGTTACCTCTTCCTGGAGCTGTGAAGGGCTGTTGCTCATACTGAACATGAGTAGAGAGGAAAAAGCAAACCTCTATGTGTCTTACTTATTTTTATAAGAAGGATGACAACAAAATTATTCAGAATTTAGGCTGAATACCCTTAGTACAAAGACTCATTTTTTTTGCAACTGACTGAATCATCCAGGTTCTAGTATTGTACTCTGCAGGCCACTCTTGGGTAGTCCCTGAACTGGGGACAGGCCCTGCTTCTTCCCAGAAGTGGGGTGGGTGGAGGTCTGGGGACTCACCAGTGGTACCAGTCATCACAGCCGTCACAGCCAATCATTGGACTCCCATCATCAGGCTTGTTGCACCCAGGGCAGAACCAGATCTTATTGCCCCACTCATCTCGGATCTGAAGGGATTGCAGGGGAAGGAGCAAATCCAGATGGAATAGGGAAGAAGAACCAACAGAAGACCAGAAAGAGTGGTTACTAAATACCTGACAAATCAGCCTGAAACCATAGTAGATTAGCTCTTCATTAAAGCCACAATCACATGGTATAGATGCAAGAAAATGTCACGATAAAACTCCTTTCCTACAACTAATGTATGCTAATAAAAAATTCTTAACAAAATGAGCACAGTTCTTCTTTTGGAAGTATATGAAATCAATGATATACTCTTACTCAGCTTCTAAAGTGCTAGGTTGGGATTACAAACCTGTACCACCACATCCAGTTATGATAAACCATTGCTAATGAATATTCTAAACTTTGTTGTATAAGCTATTTCATAATCGCCTCTGTGAACAATGTGATAAAGTGATGTATAATCTGCTTCATCTGAAAAATTCCTATAGCCACATCATTTCTTAATGATTAGGGTCTTCCCCCCCCCCCCCCCCATCCTGTGTCTTGAATTCAGGGTCTGGGCGCTGCCCCTGGGTTGCTATTGCTCAAGGTTAGTGTTCTGTCTGAGTGATAGCTCAGATCTGGCTTTTCTTGAGTAGTTTATTGGAGATAAGAGTCTCACAGCCTTCTCTGGAGTGGCTTTGAATCACAATCCTCAATTCTCAGCCTCCTGAGTAGCTAGGATTACAGGCATGAGCCACCAGTGCCTGGCATGATTAGGGTCTTAATGGCAGTAACAATTGGTATTTCTGAAAGCTGGACTGTAGCATTCAAGCACTCATTGCTTCCTCAAGCACATCACAGGCAGGGGATTATACATACAGCCAAACATGCATGTATCACTCAATTACTTATTAGCCAAACCCTTCTCCTGAACAGGCTGATACGATCAAGGATATAAAAGAGTTGTTACTAAGTAACTTTCCATTCCTTTCATGACATTTTTAGAAAAGTACAATCAACTAAATGGCAAATGAAATAAGGGGTTCAGGAGGCCAAAGAACCTCACATTTAATCACTATTTCACTACAAATATTATATACTCTGGAGTTTATTAACTTAGCAGTTAAATAGGAAGCATCTTTAATTGTTCCACTTCCTCAAATTTCGCATTATCAAAACCAGGCTGGAAGAAAGAATTCTATAGAGAACCAAAAAGCAGCAGTGGGTGAGAGGTAATGTCTCCCTGCCTGAGGGAAGTGCACCACGTGGAGATGGCCAGCCGTCCCCATGCACTAGCCCTCCAGGGGCTGAGGTTGTTCTAGTGCGCTGTGCCCCAAAGCTACCACGCATGGCCAGTCTTGCTGCTGGGTGACCTTCCTTGAAATTAGCAGCCCATGACTCTGCTACTTAAAAAATTTGCCTTTGCATCGACATCACCCAGTACGTCACAGTTCACTAAGTTCTCTCAAACATACTACTGTATTTACTTATCATAGAAGAGCCTTTGGATAGGTCAAGAATGGGAAACATGAGCCCTGGGATTGGAAGTGCTGCTCCAACACCACCAGTAGACAGTGACACATGGGCTCTGTGCCCCGTCACATCTTTCACACTGTGAATGCACAGTGTCTCTAAGGTTTCGAAGCTTCTTGGTTACGTTGTCATTCCTGTGAACCCTTCTCAATGGTGTTGGCCCACACATACAGTGGAAAACCATTACTGCTTTTTTCCTGTCTGCCAATACTAGGGGATTGAACTCAGGGCTTGAGGCTCTTGCTTGGCCTTTTCGCTCATGGCTGGCAGCCTACCACTTGAGCTCATGCTACCATTTTTAATTTCTTGCTGAAAATCACTTTTTTAAAAATGGGGGTGGGGGTGGGGATTGTTCCTGAAGCTTGAACTAAGCACCTAGGTGCTATTTCTGAGCTTTTGTTCTCAAGGTTGGTGCTGTACCACTTCCAACTACAGCTCCAATTTTGGCTTTTTGGTGGTTAATTGGAGATAAGAATGCACTTTCCTGCCCTGAGCTGGCTTTGAATTGTGTGCCATGGAGGTCAGTCTCTTGAATAGCCAGATTTACAGGCATGAGCTACCAGGACCTGGCATAATTTAATAATTTTCTGCCAATTTTCACATCTATATCCTCTTTGAATACTTATGATTTTCTTTTGTGCTCTGTGTAACATCATAATAGCTCAACCATTTAATGATGTATTTCCTTCTAAGTTTCTTTAAGTAACATGCTGTTGTATGGTTTATAACAATAAATACCATGAATACCACCTCAGCACTTCCCAATCATGTCTGTTCAGAGAGACCAAGGCTAGTGCCAGGCTCATACAACCATCTGCAGAGCCAGGGGTCATGGCCACGCCAATGCTCTCACACTCCAGAAGCATTCTGTGTGTGTTTGGGTGTCACTCTTCAGTGTCCATGGAGCATAGCTTTATAAATATTTCATATATAGAATGAATTTGGGTTTGAACAAGATTGGAGACTGTTAAGAATGTGGAAGACAAGGGCTGGGGGAGTGGTTCCAGCGCTGTAGTGCTTCCCCAGCAAGTACAGGGCTCGTGTTCAATCCCCAGCACCATAAGAAAAACAGGAGAGAAGCTGGGAAGGTGGCCTTGCATGCCTGAGGCCCTGGGTTCGATTCCTCAGCACCACATCAGCAAAAAGAAAAAAGCCAGAAATGGCACTGTGGCTCAATGGTAGAACGCTAGCCTTGAGCTGAAGAGCTGAGGGACAGCGCCCAGGCCCAGAGTTCAGGCCCCCCACCAAAAAAAATCAGGAGAAAATACCTAAAACATTCCCTGGACAATACAGACTCATTAATCATGGTGCATGTTGTAACTCAAAGCCATTGTGTACACTGAGGAAGTTCTGCAGTCTAAAAGTCCATTTCCACGTAACATACAAGCCCTGATACATTCTGGGTCTTAGCCAATAAAATGCTGTAGTTAGTACTACAACTCACAAATAGCTAGCTTATAAAACTCGGTGTATATGACATAAATTGTACTTTTCGTAAGGTCCATTCCTGGATGGCGAACAGACTTCACCCAGTACCTGTGTTACCTAGGCAACTGGGACACCTGGAAGAGGTCACATCTGCATCAGCTGTCACATCTTAATCTGATGTGGCCACACCTTTCTCCCACCAGATCCCACTTCCCTTTACCTGGACACACCTTCCCCCACCCCTACCCTATATAAGGCCTAATCCAGGGCCAGACACTCTCTTTTGCCAGCCCGTGGAGTGCCAACCTTGCCTGGTCCCAGCAGGTCTACTGAATAAACCTACCCCTTACCTGAATACCACGTGCATGGTGCTGTTCTTACTCGGCTACCTCTTTTTAAAAACCTAACACTTTTAAGTGAGTATCTCCATTGCTCAACCAAGAAATTCAGTTTGGACTTAAATGTCAGCATTCACTCTTGTATTTATATGGCGATACTGTTGCATACAATCTTATTCCAAATCAATACAAAATAATGAAAAACAATGCTTTGACATTCTAGAGACTGAATAGACAAATGCTGCAAGGTAATGCTTTTCAGCCAAAAGTTGGAAAGTACTTCTTTTGTTATGAAGAATTTCCTCTGCAACTCAATACACATATGGTTATTCCTTCTACTGGAAAATGCTCTAACAGGCTCTCAGCTACTGTGAAAATGCTACGTACCACGTAAGTGCTGACTGTCTCAGTCACTACGCTTCTCACGGGGGCCTTGGAGCTTCCTGCCCCAGAGATGGCAGGGGATGGGGAGGGCACCAGAGCTGGACATGCTGCGGCCTGGGCGAGGAGTGGCAGGGGGGTGGGGTTCACGTGCACAGGAACCGTGGCTGGGGCTGGTGGTGGGGTTTTGGGTCTATTCAGAGAAGGGGCTGGCTTAGCCTCCGGGGCTGGAACCACCTTGCTGATGACACTGTTAAGAAAGAAGAGAGGGAAAAGCTGAAGTCAGAACAGGATAACCAACTCAAAGCACATGTTAAAATCTTCCTTCATCTAGGCGCAAAGGATGTTTTCAGGAGTTTAGAGATAGTGAAAGAACTCAGAGTTCAAGACCATTCCTCAATTAAGGGCTCTACTTAGACTTTTTTTTTTTGGGTCCGGTCGTGGGGCCTGAACTCTGGGCCTGGGCGCTGTCCCTCAGCTCTTCAGCTCAAGGCTAGCGCTCTACCACTTGAGCCACAGTGCCACTTCCGGGTTTTTTCTTTTTGCTTATGTGGTGCTGAGGAATCGAACCCAGGGCCTCAGGCATGCGAGGCAAGTGCTCTACCACTGAGCCACCTTCCCAGCCCTACTTAGACTTTTTTATATTCTCAAATTGTCCTTCAATGGTCAGCTACTTAGAAAAGTTTTTAATGATCAATACAGAAGGGGAAGTGGGTCAGTGGGCACTTCCTGTGGCTGGAGCAGCTGTGACAAGGTCACTTCTGAGAGCCATCAGGAAACAAAGCCCTCTCTACTTCTCTCCCTCCCTCCCTGCAATCATACCTAGAACCCACTTTTGTTCTCTGGGCTTTTCTGCCTTTGTAGATATCTATAAAGAATATATACTATGATTATTTATGTTTTAACTTAAATATAAGTAGTATCACAGTATATTCTTTGTAACTAGATTTCATATTTGGTTTTCTTTTCTTTTCTTTTTTTGTTTTTGGGTCCAGTTGTGGGGCCTGAACTCTGGGCCTGGACGCTGTCCCTTAGCTCTTCAGCTCAAGGCTAGCGCTCTACCACTTGAGCCACAGCGCCACTTCCGGCTTTTTTTTTTTTCTGCTTATGTGGTGCTGAGGAGTGGAACCCAGGGCCTCATGCATGCAAGGCAAGCGCTTTGCCACTGAGCCACCTTCCCAGACCTCATATTTGGTTTTCTATATTTTGATTAACTTATTTGATACATCCAAATATGTATTATTTAATTTCTATACATAGTATTCTGTTTCTGAATAAGACAGTGGTTTTTGTCCATTGTCCTTCTAAAGGTAGTATGTATTCACATGTAATGCTCAAGGATTTCCTTAAGCTTTATTCTTAGCAATAAAGTCACTGGTCACAGAGTGCTCATCTTTACCATAATTAGCAGTGGATATTTATTGAGCACTTATTATGTGCCCCGCTGTTCTAAACACTTGAAAGTCAATTACAGCCCAGACACTGTACTAAATATTTGTTTATGTTATCTCATTTGCTCCTGCTAACAACAAAACGTTCTGGAGGACCTACATATCATGATATCGAGTGCATTTCTGAGGTCTTCTCAGCATCAAAGCCAGTGCTATGGAAATATCTGTGCAAACTGAGATGACCTAGGAGATTTCAAAAAGAAAAACTGCAAGTCCAGTTGCCCATGATAAAAGAATCCAATTTGCTAGTTAAGTATCTGATAATTTAAAGTCTGTATGTATTTAATAATATAGCCTCAAAAATATAAAGTAAAAATGGAAGAGGTGTTAGAAACAGTCAAATCCACAATCATAATTAGATATTTTAGCACATCTATTTTTCTGTTAATTGACAGAATAAGTAGTCAAAAAACAGCAAAGACAGTATTAGAAAGATGGCAGAGGTGGGTGCTGGTGGTTCCTGCCTGCAATCTTAGCTACTTAGGAGGCTGGAATCAAAGGATCACAGTTTGAAACCAGTGGAGCTGTGGCTCAAAGTTGTAGAATACTAGCTTTGAGCTGAAAAAGCTCAGGGACAGTGCCAGGCCCTGAATTCAAGCCCAATTACAAAAAAGAAAGAAAGAAAGAAAGAAAGAAAGAAAGAAAGAAAGAAAGAAAGAAAGAAAGAAAGAAAGAAAGAAAGAAAGAAGAAAGAAAGAAAGAAAGAAAGAAAGAAAGAAAAAAAGAAAGAAAGAAAGAAAGAAAGAAAGAAAGAAAGAAAGAAAGAGAGAGAGAGAGAAAGATGACAGACATGGACACTGCATAGCACTGGCTTGTACAGTACCACCAGCAGCCAAATAAATGATGGGAGTTTCTATCCCCAGTCATGGGAGGCCTAGGTCTGCTTTGGTGCTGGAGATGATGGTGGCATCACACTTGCAGGTAATCAATGAGATAAATATAAATATATTTCCCATGCTCATTCAAGGACTTCATTGAAAAAGTGGGGCTGTGGCAGTTTTATGTCCATACTATGAGATGATTTTTTCCCCCTAAGACACTGTCATCAGTCAGATTATGACTATGAAAAACTGTAAATCTCAAACAAAGTCTTAGATGGCTGCCATTTAGAAACTTCTTAAGGACATTATTTATTCCAAGAAGCTAGAGAGGGAAAGGAGGAGAAAGGGGGAGAAGGAAGGAAGGAAGGAGGGAGGGAGAGGACACACACACAAATACACAGAGAGAGAGAGAGAGGGAGAGGGGGAGAGAGAGAGAGAGAGAGAGAGAGAGAGAGAGAGAGAGAGAGATCCTCAGACCCCTTGAACATGCTAGGCACACATACACTCTTCTCTGCGCTGGACTGCCAGTCATTTAATTTGTAGACTTGTTTGTTAACCCAGTTCTATTAATAGTTTCTGAAAAGAATAGAAAGCTTTTATCTTCATTTTTTCACAATTTTTGTATCATGTTAGATGCCAGCATCTAACTAAATCTAAACTAGCTTTCAGTAGGCACTTGATGAATCTGAACATATTTAGTTAAACAAACAACACAAAATCTGGTCCTGAAAGGTAGTGACCTCTTAGATGAAATTATATAGTTCATATATTTTTCTGGTCAGTTAAAATTATAGCAAACAAAGTAAGTAATAACATACTCTATGACCTGAGGAGGAGAGTGGGATAAAGGTGAGGGTAGATAGGAGGAGAGTGGGTAAAAGGACAGAGACAGAGACATGTAAAAGGTGAAGGATTTGCCAGCTTAGGCTGGGAAGCTTGGGGCAACACTCATGTACTTTCGTTTGTAGTTAAGTGGAGTTAAATAGGGAGAAAGGAAGAAGAGGAGGGAGAACAAAAGCTGTATAGGAAGAGGGAAATCGTACTATGATCTGAATGCCTACCACAGAAATTAGCCAGAAAAAAAGTCATCAGCAAAAGAGTATTAATCAATGAGAGGCTATCCAAGACAAACAACAGGATTGACATGTGGGAACTTAGAACGCTACATGAACAGAACTAGTGTAGCATTTTATTTCCATTCTACTACTTGTTAGCTACTCCAGTCGAAAATGCTTGCTACTTGTTAGCTACTCCAGTCGAAAATGCTTGCTACTTGTTAGCTACTCCAGTCGAAAATGCTTGATGGAGATAAAGACTGAACCCGTTGTCAAAATGAACAGATCTTATGATTCACTATACAACCATCACTTGCAGTTGACTATTAGCTCAATGATCAGTTTATGATGGTTGCAATTTGGGGGAGAGGGGGAATCTATCAAGTTACAGCTATATCACCAACTATAAATGTTAGAGGTCTTGAAGATTAAGTAAAACAAAACAGCCGGCACGAGTAGCTCAGGCCTATAATCCTAACTACTTAGGAGGCTGAGATCTGAGGAAAATAGTTTAAAGCCAGCCCAGGCAAGAAGGTATCCAGTTAGAGACTCTTATTGCAATTAACCACTAAAAAGCCAGAAGCAAAGCTGTGGCTCATATGGCAGAGCATGAGGTTGAGCACAAAAACTCAGGGATAGTGCTCAAGCCCTGAGTTCAAATCCTAGGACTGGCAAAAACAAGACAACACATCCACCAAAGTAAGCAAATGTATAGGGTTTTGAACAACAAGCCAGCAATACATAGGAAGAGTGTTCTGTCTAAACAGTAATTAAAAAAAAAATACAAACACACAATAAAATGCCTTTAAAAGCTAAAGCTGGGTGCCAATGGCTCATATCTGTAGTCCAAGCTACTAGGGAGGCTAAGATATGAGGATCATGGTTCAAAGCCAGCCTGGACAGAAAAACCCATGAGACTTGAATCTCCAATTAATCATCAAAAATCTGGAGCTAGAGCTGTGGCTCAAGTGGTAGAGCATTAGAGTGAAAAGCTAAGGACAGTGCTCAGGCCCTGAGTTCAAGCCCCAGTACTGGCACAAGAGAGAGAGAGAGAGAGAGAGAGAGAGAGAGAGAGAGACAGAGAGACAGAGAGACAGAGAGAGAAAGCGAAGGCTAAAAGGACCAACTCCACCCAGTGTTGTCGGGATGGGGAATAGGAGGGGTGATGGTATAGTATTTCTGGGTAGTTACCAAAACTTTCAAAATATTCAAGCTTCTGACCAGGAGTTAGGCTTCTAGAAATTGATTCTGAGGAAATAGACAATTATGTAATGCCACAGGGTAAAGAAAATTATTAATAAACTCATATTTATGATTGAAAATATAAAGAGGTAGAATGACTAATTTTAAATACCCCAAGTAGGGGAAAGGTTAAATTAATACAGGATGATCACAACTGTTGTTGGCAGTGGTGGTCTCTCTTTCTCTCTACACACACACACACACACACACACACACACACACACACACACGCACACACACATTTACATAAAAACTCCTTTTTTAAAACATAAATTCTATGAATGTGTACTTTGAAAAAAATTCAATCAAAAGAATATACAATACCAAAATGCCCAGAAATTTCATCTATACACTAAGTCTGCTTTTTCTTTTGGCTTGTCTATAATTAATTGTGTAGCTTGTACAATAAAGACAATTTAAAAAAATAAAAATTTGTGTCATTATGTACAAATCTAACATGCTGCTGGGAGTTTTTAAATGATGCTTCAACTGAGTTGTACAGTTAAATCTGCTTACATTTCTGTAGATATGGGGTACTTTAGTGGCTAAAGTCTAAGTGTTGACCATAACAGTCCTAAATGGATGTGAAAAAAAAACCCCACAAGCTAAATCAAAGAGCTGACAATTTAGTTTATTCTAAATTGACTCCATCATCACTAACAGAGATCAACCACAAAGTGG